ATCACAGTTGAATTTGCTACCATGACTGTTGTATATAAATTTGACATATATGAATGTTTCTTTGGGGGTGCCTGGCTAGCTCAATCGGAAGAGCATGTGACTCTTGATCCCAGGGTTTAGAGTTCGAGCCACACATGGGGTGTAGAGATTACTTAAATAAATTTGTAAAAACTTAAAAAAAAAAAGAATGTTTATTTGGTTCAGGATCTAATAAGTGTTTCTAAAGTAGGCATCTATTGTCATAGAGATCAAGTATGTAGAGTCCTTGACCAAGTCAATTTCTCTTCTACACAGTGGGTAAGCATCGCGAATTTAATTATCACCTCTGAGAATCCTATTTTGCTCTAGGTCCATGCTAATGATGATCCTTCAGATTGACACACTTTATTAATTATAAAACAAATTATTTTTGTATCCCAAGGAGTAATATAACAAAGAATACCATAGAGAATGATAATGTATGAGGACTATAAGACATAAATGAACAGAAGTGTGTCCATCATCCAGCTTGGAAAATAGAGCCTCACCAATAGTTTTGAAGCCTTTTGGGAGCTCCTTCCCTCTGCATTCCTCTCCCTCCTCTACAGGGATAATGACTATTCTAAATTGTGTGGTTATAATCTCTTTGCTTTTTGTTACCGTTTTATTACAGATTATGTAATCTTAAAAAGGATGTTGTTAAATTTTATATATCTTTGAGTATCACATAAAGGGCTTTATAATGTACATTTTACTTCAGTGGCTTACCTTTCCCAATTCACATTTTGTTCTTGAGTTTACCCATATGGCTATGTGTAATCACAGTTTGCTCATTTTCGGTGCGTACGCTGAAGTATGACACAGTAAGAACAAACAGCAACCTATTTATTTCTTCATTCTCCTGTTGACGGGCATTTGAGTTACTTCCAGCTTTTGACTACTGTAGATAATGCTACTATAAACATTTCTGTTTGAGTGATCTGTCCACATGTGTACAGATTTCCAAAAGGTATGAACCTGGGAGTAGCATTGGTAGGTCGTAGGCTACATACATCTTAAACTTTACCAAAAATAGCCCAACATTTTCCTGAAGTGGTTGTACCAATTTAGCACTCCATCGGCAGTGTATGTGAATGTCTTTTATCGTGCCACACACCTCATGATGTGCTTTCAGATTCCCTCAAATGCCCCCTTTTCTCTCTTTCTCTTTCTGAGCGCCCAAACTGCACCTGGTCACCTAGCCAATTCCAGATTTGTCTGAAATCCACGCTATGGAGATCTGCCAGAGAGCCACGGGGAGTAGCTCCATGTGATGTAAACAAGAAAAGCCAGGAGCCGGGAGCCTCCTTTCTCTCTTTCAAAGTGTAGTTCTTCTCGAAACCCTTACAACCCACATGAAGAATGACCATGTTTCACGAACAACCTTCTGTGTCTCTTTGAAGCTGGTTGCGAAGCACTAATAAAAAATCTGTGCCCATGTGAACCAGATCCCAGGAACAAAGATGTTTATGGCAACATTATCTGGGGTGGTCAATAAGCATCACAATGCATCCCAGCTTTCCTTCTCTTCTTCCCTCACCTCATTGCCCTTAGCTAACACATCTAAAATAAAGCATTGGTCCTTCCCTTAATCCTTGTCTCAGGCTCTGCTTTCTAGAGGGTCCATGCTAAGAACATTTTCATGACTCACTTCCTCATCAACTTTTAAGACTGTCAGATGTTCAAAATTTTGCTGTTCTGCTGGATGTATCCAATGTGGTTCTAATTTGCGTTTTCCTGAATCCAATGAAGTTGATGAACTTTTCATACATGTATTGGCTATTGTAGTTCCTCATTTGTGAAGCGCTTATTTAGTATTTTTACCCAATATACTATTGGATTGTATGTCCTTTTTCTTTTTCTTATTGATAGGTAAGATGTTCCAGTTAACTACTGGAGAATTAGAGAGCCAGGCTGTATAAAGGCATACAGGGTGGGAGATACTGATGTTACCTCTGGAAAATACATTTGCCGTATGTAGGAGTCCTTTATATTTTCTGGATACTAGTTCTTCATTGATTACATGTGCTGCCGGCTTCTTCTGCCACTCTGAGGATTATTTTTTCACTGTCTTAATGGTATCTTTTGTTGAATAGTATCTTAATGTGATCGAATGATGAATTTTTTCCTTTATGCTTGGTGTGTAAATGCTTCAGGGACACTGAGGTCATGAGGCTCTTCTTTTGTAGTATCTTCTAAAATCTTTCTTGTTTTAAACAATATTTTATTGTAGTAGCTTCCAAAAGCTTTATTGTCACACTTATACATTTAGGTAGTTATCAATTTATTACTTGCTCAGCTCCAAATCCACCCTCTTTTGTCCTGCTTTGTAATACTGGAGCTGGACGTTATAAATGGTTCTTTGTCAACTGACACGTTCTTAGTCTTGCCAGAAGAGGGTGCTGAAAAGACACTGCAAGAGGAGGGTACTTTTCCTGGTTCCCGTGCTTTCCCTTCAGGTGCAGTAAGTGGCTTCTTGGCCCTTGGGTGGCTTCCCACTGAGTTTCGCTGGCACCCGACGGGTGATTTGGCAAGCTTCACCGGCACCCCTGTGGGTAGTTTCCTGCCAGCCAGCCCTGGCCTGCAGACTGTTCCCTCTCAACCAGTGGAGTGCAGCTACACCTCCAAAGTCTGCATCTCAGCCTTGGGTGGGGGGGGCGCTCTTCCAAATTTGTTTCTTTCTTGGCTGCTCTGCCCTAGCCCTAGAGGTCGTGGCTGTTCCCTGCATCTGCTATGTCTGTATTATTTGTAGTTCTCTACTCCTCTAAGTAGTTAATCCCCTTGTAATTAGTTAGTAATTCTTTATATTAAATTTGTCTAGTTCACATTACATGTGGTTTCTTTTGCCTGACTGGGTCTTGATTGACAAAGTATTTAGTCTACCTTGAAATAATTTTGTATATGAGATGAGACAGAAGTCCAACTTCACTTTTTCCATGCAGATAGCCAATTGGGCACCATTTAGCAAAAAGAACTTTTTCCCCCATTGTTCTTCAGCGACAACTCTGTCATATAGCAACAGTCCCTACGTGCGTGAGTCTGTTTCTAGGATGTACGTTTCTCCCATTTGTCTGTCTGTGCCTGCGCTAATGCCTTCATGTCCTATCACATCTTGTAAGTCTTGGTATCTAGTATAGCATATCCTTCCACAAACATCATTTTCTTCAAAATTATGTTGGATTGTTATCAAATGCTTTTTTCTGCTTTGTATGAGATAATCTTATATTTTGTTCTTTTTTAAAAAAATTTTTTTAAGTTTATTTATTTTTGAGACAGAGAGAGACAGAGCATGAACGGGGGAGGGGCAGAGAGAGAGAAGGAGACACAGAATCGGAAACAGGCTCCAGGCTCCGAGCCATCAGCCCAGAGCCCGACGCGGGGCTCGAACTCACGGACCGCGAGATCGTGACCTGAGCTGAAGTCGGACGCTCAACCGACTGAGCCACCCAGGCGCCCCTATTTTGTTCTTTAATCTATGGTGAATCACACTGATTGCTTTTTAAATGCTAAACTCTAAACTGTTTTGTTGTTTCTATTTCTGCTGGCTCTATCTCATGGTGGCTTATTTCCTCATGTGGTAGATTTTTTTATTCCTTGCTCTTATTGGGCTGAACAATCTGTAAGATTAGTGGTATAAATTTGAACCCCAGACTCATGAGAGGTCAGGTTCATTGTTAGAACTCTGGACAGACTATTATTATTTTCACTCAAAGTCATAACAGAGGCAGGCAGGTTTTTTGTTTTTGTTTTTGTTATTGTCCTGCCTTATATAAGCCCAAGACTTATCTCCCATTTCCCATGATGCTATTCACCCCCAAAGCTTTAGGTTTCTACTATGGACACTTTCCCCAGGATAGCCAACTCCCGTGTTGGCATATCACCGATTCCAACAAGCTGTATTTGTTTTAGGCCGCTGGAGATTTTCTTTAGTGTGTTGAGGTCTTAGCAAAGTGTATGAATATCTATTTGTTGAAATTTATCCAGTACCAGTGTTTTTAAGCAGGAGGGCATCTTCTAGTGAACCTCGCTGCTGGTGGCAGAAATCTTTTTGTTGCAATATCTTCTATAGCATTGTTATATGTGACATTACCAACTTTGTTCTAAAATCTTGAATAATTTTTCTTAATGGACCTGGCAACACCATATATTGGGAAAGTTAATGTCCAAAGCCTTTCCGTTTCACTTATTTCCCTGAGATTCTATAATTTTGCTTAGGGGAGAGACGAGAAGTGGTGCGTAACCAGGATAATATCCCCATAATCACATAAGCCAGACCAATTCCTTGGATGCCAAAAGTCAGCTCATGTACCACAAATGAAATAAGTCCCAATAAATGATCACCGACAGTCTAATTGGACAATTGAGCAACTGAAGAGCGGAAGATTAAGATACAGTGTGTACTGAATTCAGGGAAATATCATAAGGATTAATACAACATTCATTATAATTACATTGGCTACTGGCCACAGGAACTAATCCATTTTGAATGAAACATTGAAACACTTTAATGGCAATGGCTATTTGTGGAAAGAGTATGGAAGTATGGGAAATTACACTGGGGACGGTGCATTTGGAAGGCTTTATTGGTCTTATTCCAGCAGCAATCAAAAACAACTGTTTTGCATCCCCAGGCTTCAAAAGTCTTCCCAGAGGAGGGGCATCAGTATCATGGATATCCCATGAGACGTGACCCAATACTTGGAAATAAGAAGTTTCTTTATGAACAGAAAGAATAGTTTAAGGAAAGTGTAATATTTTTATCCCTGGATTTTGACATACCAAAGCCATAAAACAGTAATCAGACAAAAGCCCATAAACGATTTTGGAATTTTTTTCTAATCTTTTAGATAGTCCTTTTCTCTCTGGAGGGGAAGATCTTTTCCACTTTGAAGTGGCACAGTTTCTGTACCTTATAAGCAAGACCCCAAAGCAACCCTGTGCATTCAGAAGGGACAGTGGGGCCACTGCCGTGGTGACCTGGCAATACTGACCCCATCATTTGGTCTCTTCGCCAAAAGAGAGGGGGCCAACACACTCCCTGTGTTTTTAAATTTTGAGGTAAGAATTGAGCAAGGCCCTCTTCATCCAGTGGGGAAAAATTGTTAATTTGCTTAAGTTTTTTCCTTGCAAAAGAGAGGCTAGTGGCAGAATTACTCCTTTAACGTTGCAATTTCGTATGTTGCTCAGAAATTGGCCCATTCCCAGACTCCTTTGTTAGGATAAGTGTCAGTTGGCACCTAGAGAGCAAATACGGAGCCAATATAAAATGTACACCAAGATGCTCTTAAGGCTAAGGTTAAAAGTCCATGAAGTAGGCATAAAAAGCTGTCACTGGCGCCCGTGTGCTCTTGAGGTGGGAAGCCTGGGCCAGGATACGTGGGTGGTACGTCCAAGCTGGGACGATTCCCTTCAGGGGAGTTTGATTGATGCTTCTTTCCTCTGATGAACTTTGAAGTATATTCAATCTTCAGGTTGTGGATTGTAGATCGTTTTTATCAGGGTGATCTTTCAAGCTGCTTGTTCCTGTGAATAGAAGTGTTGACACACTTCAGTAGTGTTTTGTAATAATGTAGCAACATGCCATTTAATACATAAATATTTTCCAAGTGGATGGCCACCGGAAGTGCAACAAGAAGTTTCATGAGCCTCTCCAGTTCTTCTGTTGGCTCTAGTTTTTGTGACCTTAAGAATCATGGGCAAGAAATCTGACCATTTCGGTATATACATTTGGGCTAATTTACTTTTTGAAATCCCATTTGGTTTTCTACCATCCTGAGCTAGTTGAGCAGAGGAAGTACGCCGTATTAGTTTCGGTAAGGCTTTGTCTACTTCCTTTACAGTTTGACCTGATCACTGCTGAGGGATGAAGTTGCCTCAACTTGGGAAAGAAGCTCTTTGGAAGTCTTTGATTAATGGTGACCGGGTAAGCTTTTGCTTGTTACTAAAAACATACTTGAATTACCAACGTGCAAGCCCATGAACAACATTTCTTTGCCTAGGTAGAAACCTGAATATTTACAAATGTCCTGGTGGTGAAGGATGAGCTACCGGTATTTATGGGCAAGTTGACATTACTGTTCATTCATTCAGTGAATATTTACTGAGCACCTGCTGTACAACAGACACAGTTCTAGATGCTGGGGATAAAGTGGTGAATAAGGAAAGAAGGCAAAAATTCCTTCCCCCATGGAGCTCACATTCTAATGGGAAGAAACAAACATGGCCCGGAGGTCAAATATACTATGTTAAGTGTACTTAGTGCTAACGAGAAAAACAAAACAAGGAAAGGGGATTAAAAAGTATGTATATGGTAGTCTGGGAGAGGATTACAATTTTAGATAGGGTAGCCATGGCAGGGCTTCACAGGGATGGAGATCTTTGAATAAAGCCAGACGGACATAAAAGGAGATGAGGAACAATAGAGGTTCTGTTGAGATAGAAGGATAAACAGCAGACCAAGTAAAGAAGATGTGTTCAGAAAGGAAAGGGTAACCAACTCTGTCAAATGCTGCTTGGTAGTTGAGTAAGAGAAGGGCAGAGAGTGGACCAGCTCTGGAAGGGCAACAGGGGTGAAAACCTCTGACATGGCTTCAGGGGAGAAACAGATGGAGAGAAATTAGAGATGGTGAGAACAGACCACTATTTTGAGGGATTTTCCTCTGAAAGGGAGCAGAGAAACAGAGTAATAACTGGAAGGAGAAACAAGATAAAAGGAAGCCTTTGCCTTACTGTTTTCTGGTTTGGGGGGGGTGGGGGTTGGGAGATAATACAGCATCTCCAAACCATGACAACAATTATCCACTAACGAGTGAATATCAGTGCCATTTGGAGAATGCAGGAGCAGAGTGAGGGCACCGCCAACCGGGGAGAGAAGACAGAGTGCCTGTGGACAGATGCTGGCAGACAGGCAGGTTGGATAGCAGGAGCTGTGGAATTCTCTCCTGGTGGCCTCTATTAGTGAAATAAGGAGCAAGGTCAGCAGCAGGGAGTGAGGGATGAAACCTGTATGAAGGGGGAGGAAAAGATATAAAATAATTAAGTACGAGAGTAAGAGAGTTAATGGACTAGATAAATGTAGAATAATGACTAGGAAGTTAAGTGCCCACTGGAGGTAAGTGGTCATGAATGTGAAGTGGTGCAGTCAATACAGTTGTTGTTTTTTCAGCCGTGTTTTTCTGCAGCGTTGACGCAGGCGTGGGAGAATTTGCTTCTGCCAGGGTCTCAGTTTTTGCCAAGCAAGTAATGCAAACTGAGATCTGGCCAAGGGAGTTCAGGGCATTTGGAGTGGTTCGTTACGACTGATGATAAAATTTAAACTGGGTAGGGAAGTGGAAGGTAAGGAAGGAAGCTGAGGCTCCCATACTGCAGAGTGGGTGGCTTAAAAACAAACATTTATTCTCTCACACTTCTGGAGGCTGGAAGTCCAAGATCCAAGGGTGGGCAGGGTTGCTTTCTGGTGGAGCCTCTCTTCCTGGCTTGCAGACTGTCACCTTCTTGCTGTGTCTTCACATGACCTTTCCATTGTGGGTGGGTGGAAAAAGAGGGATTTCAGGTGCCTTTTCTTCTTCTTTTTTTATTAGGTATAATTGGCATATCACGTTTTAGTTTCAGATGTACAACATGATTTGATATTTGTATATATTGCAAAATGATCACGATAATAAACCTTTAGTTAACATCCTTCACCATATATATTTACAAATTTTTTTCTCTTGTGGTGAGAACTTTTAAGATCTATTCTCTTAGCAATCTTCAAATATGCAATACAATATTATTAGCTCTAGTCACCATGCTGTACATTATGTCCCTGTGACTTATTGATTTTATAACCAAAAGTTTGTGCTTTTTGATCCCCTTCACCCATTTTGACCACCCCATCCCCCACTTCTGGCAACCACCAATCTGTTCTCCGTATCTATGAGCTTGGTTTTTTGTCTTGCCTTGTTTTGTTTTGTTTTTAGATTCCACATATAAGTGAGATGTAAGGTATCTGTCTTTCTTGGACTAATTTCCTGATTTCCCTTAGCATAATGTCTTCCTCTTCTTATAAGGACACTAGTCCCATCAGATTGGAGCCCCCACCCTTATGACCTCTTTTAATCTTAATTACCTCCTTAAAGTCTCTGTCTCTAAGTACAGTCATGTTGGAGATTAGGGCTTTAACACAGGAGCACAGGAGTTTTGGAGGTACACAATTCAATCCATAACAATAAGGAAAGAAGAACATGAAAAACAGTCTGGAACGACAAAGCAGTAAGGTGAATGGATTGTAGGTAATGGTGAAACCAAAGGATCATTGGAGTGTTAGTGTGAGTTGGAAATAGAGGAGGAGTTGACTGGAGAGTGGAGCATATGAAATTGGGATTATAGGGGTTGCAATAATCTGGAATGACAAAATCTAGGGTGTGACTGCGGGGCCGAATGGCCGAGGCAGGATGGATATAAGGGCCACTGCAGGAGAGGACACCAAGGAACTGAGAGGCTGGGGTGTCGGAAGGCACATCTCTGAGTACACTGACGTTACCAGGAATTATCACAGGGGTAGTGTTGCAGACAGTGTCAGTGAGCCAGGTGTCGAATGTCCAAGGAAAGAGGGAGAATAACCTCTGGGCAACAGATGATGCCAGTAAAGCAGGACTATATTGGGGCAAAATTGTAGCCAACCAACCCTAAGTCATGGAGGAAGGGATTTGCAATCCATATCCCAGATGGATTTTCCAGAAGCTGAGGTGTAACTTGAGGTACAAGAAGCTTACCAGGGATCAACACGTGTGAGTGGAAGAGGGAAGAAGCAGGACTGGGCAGGGGAAGAACTTGAGCTATGAGAAGGTCCTACAAGCCTCAACTAACCCGGGAGCAAGTGTCACACATCACAGCATTCAATGTTGGGCCAAATAGCTGGACTTTTACATCCCACAGCCCCTTCGGTCACCAGATTCGGGTCGCAGGCAGGCGGCTTTCTGCAGATGTGGCACATTCTGAAATAGCTGACGGCTGGAGGCTCTCTGCCTAATGCGCTCCCTGCAGCTGGAGAACAACTTCTTCCTGCAGAGGCATCTGAGCGGTGCCTCTCTGTGTCTACCATGAAGACACTTGCATTTTATTTTGGCATATACAAAAACTCTACAGATCAATATGAAATCCTAGGTTGCCAAGGATAATAGTGGCTGCCCAAATCTGAATCTCTTCACATTCCAAATATCAACATGGATGGACACAGAGGGTATTATGCTACATGAAATAAGTCAGACAGAGAAAGACAAATACTATATCATTACACTTATATATGGAATCTAAAAAAAAAAAAACAAAACAAAACCCAAAAAACAAGCAAAAGCAGAAACAGACCCGTGAATACAGAAAACAAACTGGTGGTTGCCAGAGGGGATGGGGGTAGGCATGGGGCAAAATGGAAGAAGGGGAGAGGGATGTATAGGCTTCCAGCTATGGAATGAATGAGTCACAGGGGTGAAAGGTACAGCACAGGGAATATCTTCAATGATGTAACAGTGTTGGGTGGTGATAGACGGAAGCTCACTAGTGGTGAGCATAACATAATGTATAGAGATGTTGATTCACTATGTTGTACACCTGGAACTATTGTAACATTGTGTGTCGATTATTCTTCAGTCAAAAAAAATTGAGTGCCCTAAAGAGCTTTTTGTATGGGGTTACCTCTATCTGTATTTAATATTAAATATTAAATACAACATCAAAACTGAGAATAATAACATTCACTCAGTAAAAGAATTCAATAAGAAAGCAGAGCACAAAATTAACAGGCAGAAATAAATAGCCATCAGGTATATAAATTATAATCAGCCGATATGATGGTAGGTAATAGCAACAGAGAAGACAGACATTTAGGAATAAACTTAAGAAATGTGCAAAGTCCAGGGCGCCTGGGTGGCTTAGTCAGCTAAGTGTCTGACTTCAGCTCAGGTTATGATTTCACAGTCTGTGAGTTTGAGCCCTGCGTTGGGCTCTATGCTGACAACTCAGAGCCTGGAGCCTGCTTCAGATTCTGTGACTCCCTCTTTCTCTATCCCTCCCCTGCTCGTGCTCTGTCTCCCTCTCAAAAATAAATAAACATTTAAAGAGTTAAAAAAAAAAAAAGAAATGTGTAAAGTCCATCTGAGGAAAATTTGAAAAATCTCCTGAAACATACTAGAGTAGACAAGCAAATGAGAAGATGTCTCTTACTTTTGGATGGGGTGATTCAACGTAATTAAAGGTCAGTTCTCTCTAAGTTAGTTTATAAATTTAATTGTGATCCCCCCAATGTCAAAAGTTGATACTAAAGTTCATATGAACTAAAGTTCATATGGAAAAATAAACATGCAAAAACAGACTGGATATGAGGGGGCAGTAGCTCTCTCAGTAATTAAAATACACTCTAAGACGTTTCTGATTAAAACAGGGCAGGATTACTCTTGTAGGCAATGTGTAATTTTTAAAATCATTTAGACTTGGGGGCACCTGGCTGCTCAGTCAGTGGAATGTGCAACTCTTGATCTCAGGGTTGTGCGTTCAAGCCCCACCTTGGGTGTAGATATTACTTAAAAAAATAAAAAAAATTAATCATTAAGATTTGTAATTCTTTGAATTATTTTGTGTCTCTCCTATTAACATTCCTGTGGTTTTGATAGGCAGGTTTGATAACCTGACCAGATAGCTGTAGTTTTTGTATTTTATTTGCTTGAGCAAATCACTTCTCAATTTTAGTTGTGATGGATAAGCCAGAGCTTTAAGCGAAATGTAGCATCTGGTGTTATTGAAGAATGACAGGTAGGTGAAATTAATACAGAGCAACTCCAGTAGATTTATGGATTGAATAGTCACAGTTTTTCTTTTAATCTGTTATGTAAGTTTATTAATTTAGTGAAAACAATGTTTTTACCCTAATGTGTACTCTACCAAATTTATATTTGTATCATTAACACAAAAGCAAATAAATATGCCTTCACTATTAAATTCTTCAACTGAATTTATAGTGGTTCTAATGCTAAAGTCAGATATTTTACCTCCAAGAGTAGGACCATTCAAACGTCTTGCTTTGATTTAATGAATTGAATGAAAAAAATCTACCCATTATTGACATTAATATCCCTGATTTTCTCTTTGATGCATCTGATCCTAATGGATGTCAAATTGGCATAATTTATACTGCTTTTATAATTCTTTTACTAGTGAGGCCAACACTTGAACAGCAAAAATTGTGCAAGAAAATTCAAGAAATTGAAATGAGAGAAAATTTTTTTTAATTAAAAAAAATTTTTAATACATTTATTTATTTTTGAGAGACAGAGAGAGACAGAGTGTGAGCAAGGGAGGGGCAGAGAAAGAAGGAGAGACAGAATCAGAAGCAGGCTCCAGGCTCTGAGCTGCCAGCACAGAGCCTGGTGCGGGGCTGGAATCCACGAACCGTGAGATCACAACCTGAGCCGAAGTCGGACGCTTAACCGACTGAGCCACCCAGGCACCCTTTAATTTTTTTTTTAATGTCTATTTATTTTTGAGAGAGACAGAGACAGAATGCGAGTGGGTTAGGGCCAGAGACAGAGAGGGAAACACCGAATCCGAAGCAGGCTCCAGGCTCTGAGCTGTCAGCATGGAGCCCAACGCGGGGCTTGAACTCACAAGCTATGAGATCATGACCTGAGCCAAAGTCGGATGCTCAACTGACTGAGCCACCCAGGTGCCCCTGAAATGAGAGAAATTGAGAAGAACAAGCATGTGACCTGGATGAAAGCCATGTTTAACAGAATGATTTTTAATTTTTTTTTCAACGTTTATTTATTTTTGGGACAGAGAGAGACAGAGCATGAACGGGGGAGGGGCAGAGAGAGAGGGAGACACAGAATCGGAAACAGGCTCCAGGCTCTGAGCCATCAGCCCAGAGCCTGACTCGGGGCTCGAACTCACGGACGGCGAGATCGTGACCTGGCTGAAGTCGGACGCTTAACCGACTGCACCACCCAGGCACCCCCAGAATGATTTTTAAATGTATCTTGTGCAGTGACACAAGTTAAATCTGACTATTTTATAAGTAGCTGCTAATGTCTTAGTTTTTATGTGGCTAGTAATTTCACTACATCCTCCATAGTGGATGGTAAATGTTAGCATTTTGTGCTTTTTACACATTTACATAAACTTTTTTGAGAGATGAAATACAATACATATATTTTTATTAAATATTCGCTTTTTAAAAAGTCACTGCTGTTGAGAGCCACCTGTTGGGTGGCTCAGTCAGTTAAGCATCTGACTCTTCATTTCTGCTCAGGTCATGATCTCACAGCCATGAGATGGAGCCCTGCGTTGGGCTCTGCATTGATAGTGTGGAGCCTGCTTGGGATTCTCTCTCTCTCCCTCTCTCTCTCCTCATCCCCCCCCCCCCCCACCAAATACATAAACATTAAAAAATCACTGCTGTTGAAAGGATATATGGAAAAAAAAATTTTAATTTTTTTAACATTTATTTTTGAGAGACAGTGAGACAGAGCACAAGTGGGGGAGGGGGCAGAGAGTGAAGGGGGGCCGCAGAATCTGAAGCAGGCTCCAG